CCTAGGATGTTGACTGCACCAAATGGATTAGATTTAGTCCTCGCGAAGCAGGTTTGCTCCACTGTTCCACATTGGGGCTTAGAATGCTCAGATTCCTGGGTTATTGGGGCTTAGGTCCTGCTATTAAATTGTAGCTATTTTTTGCAATACTTTGGAATTCACATAAACACTAGGATATTCTGATTCTGTTCTGGTGTCAAGTCTAAAATTCCTTGTTTCCACAAAATTGGCAAAATAGTAGAAAAACTTCTCTTAACTGTTCATTTCCTTTCTCTTCTGCATGGTCTGCCCTGACTGGTTAGTATTAGTTTATGCATAATTAGAATGACAGGGTAATAAAAGGAGTTTTCTTGCAATTTGTGGAAATTTGTTCTTCAACTTTGGGTAGCCCAAAGATGCTAAGGTGAAGATTTGGGCCAGTGTGTCTCTAAGTCCTTATCAATGTTAAACTATGAATTTCTAAGAGATTCTAAGACCCTGAGAAGAATCCATCAAAGCTTTGTATAGAGATGTAGAAAAGACCCCAAATTTGGAGAGATATCTATTATCACTATATTGGTTATAACCATTTTAATTCATTATTATTGTTGTGGTCAGTGTGTGTGCATGCATGCAGTGGCAGGTGTTTGAAGGTCAAGACAGCTGTAGTAGTTGGCGCGCTTTCTCTCTGCCATGCGGGTTCTGGGACTTGAACTCAGATCATCGAGCTTGGCCTCAAGCTCTTCTGTCCACTAAGCCATGTTGGCAGCCTTCACCCTGACAATTTTTATAAGAAATCAAAGGAGAATTATGGTATAAAGGAATGCTATTTTCTTTATTTGAAAAATTTTCTTTTTTCTTTTCATGAAGAGGAGTTATTTGATTATCACAAATGATTTTAACACTGGTTTCTGAGTTCTTCACGTTGCATTATACATATGAAATCACTGACTTTGTCATCAAAATGTTTCTAATATTTAGTAATCATTGGTTTCTCTAAACTTCTAAATTGGTAGGAATACTCAACAAGGTCCTGAAAGAACAGACAAAACAGTAAATAAAAAGTACTTTGTCTGCCTTCTTTCTTTGGTTTGAGTTTTACTCCTTTGAAAACATTTCCTAATTCTGGTGTGTGAAAATGTAGTTTAGGAATTCAAGAGCATTGGTTCCTGTATTTCAGCAACATGGACCCTAAAGTTCTGTAATATCGCACTGACAGAAAGAGTGGGAGAAATTGGGCACTGTATCCAAGAATTACCTGAGAACTTGTGTATTGAAATCTTTACACTTCAATAAATTAACAAGATACCACTAAATAGTTTAGTAAAATATTCTTAACCAAAGAGAGGGCTTCTTGTAAGTGAGCTGTCTGTTCCTTAGGGGCAGTCTTGCTATTAGAATCTCTTCAGAGAAACTCTAGAAACACCCGCTGTTTAGGCTCCAGCTGAAGCCATTGAGAGCAGTGACCTGGGCTGGTACCCAGGTATCGATAGTTTTGAAAGATGTTTAACTAATTCCAATGTGCAACTGGAGTGAGGGTTTTTAATTTATTGGAGTATCACAGGTACCCTACTTGTTAGAAGATGAAAATGTGTGAGGTTTTGGGTAGGAAGGTGTAGTGGAGATGGCCTTTATAAGAGAGCTCAGACTGTGTTGGAAGGCCTCCTTTATCAACACCAGATGTGTTAACTTCAGGTACTTTACCTGGGTCTGAAATTTCTTTGCAGCTTTTCTATTTGAAGCTCAATACTTAATTTCATTATAGTATTTTTGGAGTATTTTCCTGCACCACATGAAGAGTTAACAAATTCAGATATTTCTCTTCATTTTGATTCAGGTGGTCATAGGAGAGACTTTGAGTTTGATGTTTGACTAAGGACTTGTCACTGAGAAATTTGGGATTTTGTGAATTTGAAACTTAGCGGGTTGATATCATTATCTTATAAGGAAGCTAAGCATATCACAACACAAGCCCTTCCAGGGCACTGTTAAGTCTACTTAAGACATCCAGCTGTTTTGATAATTTACATGGGCGGCATGCTTATCACAGGCAAAGCCCAAAAGCAGATCTTGACATGGAGGCAAGGGAAACTTGAGTAAATGGGGATTGTGGGGGCGGTGACGGTACCAGCGGGAGGCCTGAATTGCTCTCTGAGGTGCCTTCTGCCAGCAGCCTAACAAATAGGATGTCCTGTGCCAGGAGTTCTCGTGAGACTCCGGTCAGATTGCTCAGTTCACTGAGTACCTGTTACAGACTAACCACTGCAATTGATACTAAGGATGCAAGGAAGAAAATGTGTGCCCTGGGAGGAGGTAGAAGAGCAATCAGTTCATACTTTTATTTTATTTGTATTGTATGTGTGTGTGCACGTGTGCGTGCACCAGTGTGCATGTGCCTGTGTGTATGTGGAGCCAGAGGTCAACACTGTATGTCTTCCTTAAGCCTTTCGCATTATATAGTAGTAGTAGTAGTAGTAGTAGTAGTAATAACAATAACAATAGCTTTATTATTTGAGATAGACCCACTGAACCTGGAGCTTGCTGATCGGCCACACTGTCTGACCAGCAAGCCCCTGGAATCCTCCTCTCTATGCCTCCCCCTTGCAGTATTTGAGGTACATACTGCTGTTCCCAGTTTGTGTATGTGGTAGCTGGGATTCAGACTCAGGTCATACTTTGTAGCAAACTCAGCAAACCCCTTTCCACTGAGCCATCTCCCCAGCTCCAACTCTTCAGACTCTTTGGAGAATTCATGCTGTAAATTATTTTACGGGGGCTGGTTTTTCTCTCCTTTTCATTTATTTTTGGAGACAGGTTCTAATTATATAGCCCAGACGAGCGTCAGACTCAAAATCCTAGTTCCTCCCTCTCTGGAGCACTTAGACTGCAGGTGTGCACCACCATGTCTGGCCCTGTCTGTACTGTAAGCCCCATGTTCCCATGCCTCACTGTACACAGCAGGCATGAGACATTGAGTTATGGGAATGAATGAATCAACCTCGTGTCGATGCATTCCCTTGCTGCTTGAAGATTCCATATGAACAGGTACATGGTTGTCTAACTTTAAAGACTTTCAAACTATAACAATGGCATATTCTTCATGTAGAGTCTGACCATTTCGGTAACCCTAAGACCCTTGTTTTTTGGCTAATCTTTATTTTAAACTTGGCATTAGTCTGAACTCCGATATTCCTCGTGGAAATGAAGATAAATTCTTCTCTTGACATTCTCTTTTCCCATTAAGTTAAAAATCGTTGCTTCATAAGTGAGATTCCAAACATCTGGATTTTGATCTTTCCACCATACGGGATGATAGTTTAGCTCTGGCCACATCTGGACCGTGCAACCTGATCACATTCGGCACACAGAGCATCTAACTTAGGTGGTGCAGCCAACCAAGAGCTTGTGGAATGCGCTTGGACCCTGTTCTCCTGCTATTTTACACACAGGGTCTGGGTGTTTTTTTCCTCTATCCTCTCAGATTGTGAACAAATGGGAAAATTATATGCCGCTCTCAAAGACTCGCAAAGATTCTTTGACTTAATTTCTGTCCTTTGTGGCAGGTAATAGTCTCTTGGATTGTAGTCATCCTCTCAAATGGTCTCGACGAGTGCAACCCTCCTCAGGGTTAGCAGAGCTGGGAGACACTGCTACACACAGTCTGGAAGTGTGTGGAAGCTACACACAGTCTTTCTCTCTCTCCTTTTTTTTTTGACTTTTATTTTAGTGGAAAGTTGGAGTTGAAATGACTTGATATTTGATCTGGATCTGCTGCTCTTGTCTGAGCCAGGAATTGGGCCTTGACAGCTGAGGACGCTGTGATAGTTGCCATGGGAACCTGTGATTCTTCCTGACTTTCTTCCTATTAGCCATCTACTCTGTGTGAATCCTCTTAATTTCTGTGGGTACTTAAGAGGCCAAGGTGCTATGTATGGCTGTTTATGTGACTGATTATATTTTGTTATGTAATCTTTTACCCTTAATTGCTTAAAATTATTTATAATGTGTTAAGTTGGAAATTTTATTTCAAAGTCCCATTTAGGTGACTATTATTTTCAAATATGGATTTATACTGCTAAGGGATCCTGTGTTCAGTACAACAGGGATTTGGGTGTGGGCTCCATACTGTTTTATAATTCATCAATGTGGTCCTTCACACCCGGCTAGCTTTACCCGAAATAATTACATGGAAACTGTATTCATTTAAACACTACGTGGCCCATTATATCTAGCCTCTTATTGGCTAACTCTCACATCTTAATTAACTCATTTCTAATAATCTGTATCACCACTTGACTGTGGCTTACCGACATGAGTTTAACCATCGTCCATCTCGGGCCAGAGCTTCATGGCGTCTGCCTGACTCTGCTTCTTTCTCCCAGCATTCTGTTCTGTCTACTCCGCTTATCTAAGCTGTTGTCCTATCAAAAGCCAAGGCAGTCTCTTTATTTGACCAATGAAAGTAACACATAGACAGAAGACCACCTACATCAACACCCATGCTTCTTAGGTAGAGAGATTTTTTCTGTCTTATATTATGAAATATATTGTGTATATTACATTTTATAATATATACATATACATATGCTGTTGTTAACTTTGGCATGAGAGGAATGAATCCTAGAATGACTTGAATATTTTTTGCCATAAAACAATAAATTGGAAGTGAAATTTTTGAGCCTCCTCAAATCGAGTTAGATCTCCTAAGTTCAACCCAAGCTTCTGTTGTTGGAATGTGGATGTGGGCTATGGGAGGCTGTCAAGGTTTCCTCCCCCCCCCCCCAAGCAGAATGACTCTTGGGGGAAGTACCCATTTGTAGGTAGCACTGTGCCATAGGCAGGTGTCAGAGTGTTGCGTGTTGCAAAGCAGGATCAGCCTCACCCAGAAGGACCTTCTGAGTTCAGTTTCCTGGGCTCTCTAGATAATCTCAGTTCACGGCAGGTGGGGGGCGGTGACAGCGACTACTTTCAAGTTCCCAGCAAGTGCTGACTGCCTCGTGCTTTGTTTCATGCTTTTTCAGAGTGCAAATTCACCTGCACCAGCGGCAAATGCTTGTATCTTGGCTCACTGGTCTGTAACCAACAGAATGACTGTGGGGACAACAGTGACGAAGAGAACTGTCTTCTGGTGACCGAGCATCCGCCTCCAGGCATCTTCAACTGTAAGTCCCTCTGACTCACCCTTGTTACATTGTGTCTGATGGTGTTTTGAAACGGATGGGATGTGGAAAGTTACGTTTCCTAGTTACAGGAGAGAGATGTGCGCATTTCCACCAAGATTTCCTTCTGGGTTGGAAGATGGCATGTGTAAGATGGAGAACACCATGTGTTTCTGTAGGCGCTCGCTGGTGCGGTGGTTTGTAATTGGGCTTTGCTGTCAATCTGAGAAGCCCCAGTTGGTTCCAAGCAGGTATTGCGTTCTTCACACAGCTTTAGAGACCTTTTTGAATTTATGACTTCAGAAATGATTTTAAGTAAGTGAAGACAGGTCCATAATTATTCACAAAAATAGAAATATTTACACGAGACTCCTAAAGGTTCTGGTTGTATGTTTTGCTATTAAATACAAAATGGAAATAAAACATGTGTCAGGTCTTTACACGTTTGACTCTCTTGAGTCGAGACTCAGAACACTGTCTTCAACTTGAAAAAGTGAGATCAGAATCTGAAATTCATTGGTTTTGGATTTTATGATTATTATGACAAGGAAGAGGGAGAATGCAGTTTTGAAACACTCCTGAATTCTGTTAGAAAAAATAGTTTCTTATTTTCTGTTTTTCCATGAACCAACTAAAGTGGTTTGAGGGTGAGCATCCTTTTGTATCAGCCTACCTAGGGAGAACGCTTGCCATGCTGGTCCTTGCTGTGTTCGGAGAGCTGCTTCCCCCAGATCCAGAGCTGACATTAGAGGCTTGGTCTCCAACCCATGGTACTGTTAATGAGGTGGTAAAACCTTAGAGGCCTGGTACCTCCTTAGGGGTGCTCTGCCTTTCATAAAGGGATGATGGGACCCTGGGTCCTCAGGTTTCTGCTATGTAACCCAGGCTGGCCTCAAGCTCACAGCAGTTCTCCTGCCTCAGGGCCCTAAGTGTCGAGCTTACAAGATGTGAACTAGCATGCCCTTTTTTCTTGGCTTCCTTGCTGGCATGAAGTGAGCACTTTTGTTCTATAGCTTGTTCGCCGATATCGTGTGCTGCCTTGGCACAGGCCCAGAGGCAAATGGGGCCAGTTGCCCATGGATTTTAAAACTGAGATGAGCTAAGCCTTCCCTGTTTTGTTGGTCATTCTAAAGTGTTTGTTCTGGTGATATGAAGCTGAGAGGTGAATCCTCTTCATGGGGGTCCTCTTACTGAGATGGGTCATTTCAGACACAGTCAGCCTCTCCTGTCCTGAGACCATTTTGAAGCATTATGTTTGGCAAAAATTAAATCTGGGGAGCTGGAAGGATGGTTAAGAGCTCTGGCTGCTCTTGAGAGGACCCGGGTTCAGTTCCCAGCACCCACATGGCAGCTCATAGCTGTCTGTAACTCCAGCTTCAGGGGTTCTGATGCCCTCTTCTGACTTCCATGGGCAACAGGCATGTACCTAGTGTACAAACACCCACACAGATAACACAGTCAATGCACATAAAATAAAATAAGTCTTTTTAAAATTAAAATTTTGTGTGGAAAATAGACTGCAAAAATGCAATTGCCGTAAACTTGGAGAGGGTTAAGAAAAACAAAAAACCCACATTTTCCTCTACCCCTACTTTAGGGGAAAAGCATGCATGGTCCTAATATAAAAATAACTAGGTTCTGGTGAATTTTAAGCCTGCTACTTATGCTTGCCATATTCAGGAGTCTCAGTGTTTATTTTCTCAAGAATGTTTGTTTTATTATTTTGAACTTTCTTTATTTCAATTTTAAAAGATGCTGGTTATTTGCTGTGTTTGAGCCTGCCCATGCGTGAGTGGGCATGCGTATTCATGGAGGCACTTGTGGAAGGTCAGAGGTTGATTTTGAGTGTCCTCCTCAATTGCTTCTCCAACCCATTTTTTTTTTTTGTCCTACATAATGTATTTTTCCTGAACCTCAGACTTGTCATTTTCGCTATATTGGTTGGCCAGTGAGCCCCCGAATTCTGCTTTTCTCTACTCCCCACCACATTACTGGGGTTGCAGATGTACACAGTCACATCTGGCTTTTATGCGGATGTTCGTCAGGTCCTCATGCTTATGCGGTAAACCCTTGACCCACCAAGCCGCCTCTCTAGCCCCTGAATTTCCTTATATTGGCTGTTTTCAAATTCTGTCTTTATGTGCTAAGAAGACATGTCTCGAGGGTCAGGACTGGCTCTGCACTTCCTTAGCGTTGGTCCCCTGCTTTCCTTCGATTAAGTTTGTGCGGTAGCGTTTGTACCATGTCTGGCTGTGTGGGTTGTCTCACTTCCTGCATATGGGTCCTTTGAAGCATTTGTTGACTGGCAAAGGGAAGAGCACACAGGGAGGAGGGTGGCAGAGTGAAAGGGGGATTGGGACCTGGGTGGGGACCAAGAACACTGAGGGCTCCTCTGTCTACCTTTTCCACAAACACTTAAAGTCTTTTTGAGCCCCACATCTAAACTATAAAATGTTCGTTTTTCTTCTTTTCTGTACCATGGTAGGAATTGATTCCAGGACCTTAGACATCCCAGACAAGCACTCTACCACTGAGATACCTATCAGTCCTCTTTGGTTTTGAGACATAGTCTTCTTATCAAGCTTCCCATGCAGGCCTTTAACTCTGTGGTTCAGGTTGGAATTGAACATGTTGTCTTGTAGCTTCCACCTCCCAAGTAGCTGGGCTTACAGACCTGTCTTTATCACCAGGCCTGGTTAGATGTGCTTTGAATATGTATGCTTGTTTCACGCTAAACAACTGGGATAGGGTCCCAGTAATATAGCTTCCCAGGAACAGTCAGCAAGTTGTTCTTCCCTGTGCCCCAGCGCTACCATCTACACAATTAGGGTACGAGAGATGGCTACTGTGTGCACTGCAGGGGAAAGGGACAATCCACGTAAGTTATTTAGAAACGTGCAAGACTCAAGCTGTTGCTGAATACGCAGTTGTTCCAACCTAGACTGATGGATTAGGATCCTGGCCCTAGGACTTAGCAGTTAGGCAGGTTGCTTTTGCATGAGGAAGTGATTGAATCCTCTAAGGTCTAGATTCTGGTATCTGTAAAATGGGCATAATTTCTGTCATGTAAAATTGCACATGGCCTTAATGAAAGACCTTGGAAGTGTGAGCTACATAATTGCATTGTCATTCCTCTCTTCCCCTTCTCTCTCTCTCTCTCTCTCATCTCTCCTTCCTCTCCCCCTCCTCCCCTTGCTCCTCCTCTTCCTCCTGACATTTTGTTTGGGCCTCCCTTGGGGAGCTGAATCACCATAGCTTCGTATGATTTGCCTTCAATGTCACCACATTTCATATGTAATATGTTTCTAGGTGTCCCAGAATGAGTGCGTTCCCAGAAATCAGTGTATTTCCTTGGCAAGATTCCCTAGGGATTGTGCCAGCTGAAGGTGCCTGTGGCATGGCTGAGAACTACCTGTACGCTGCCTCCACTGAAATACCAGGAGGAGGAGGCCCATTTATACCACAAGGAACACTCCCCAAGCTGTTATTGGCCTGTTCTTTGACTTCTTTTCTTTCTTCAGTCAAAATGAGAGGTTAATTTGATATGGAATGAGTGTATGCTTTCTCTCCCTATGTTACGTCCCTGAAGAAAACATAAACAAACAAGAACTGGCGCCTACTAGCTTCCATGTACTGTGTCCTTGGGCAGTTGGTGAGCTTTCAGTGGATGACACATACTTTTTATTGGGTCATCTATGGTGTATTTCTATAGTAGATGGATAGTATGCCTTTTGCAGAGTGCTAGCTCCATAAATAAGTTTTACTTTCCCACCCAACTTGAAAAAAATTAAATCCTTGTGTATGAAATATGTGTATATGATGTGTGTGCACACACACACACCCCAGAACAACAAAAACCTCACCTAGTAGCCCTTGTTCTTATCCTATTTTGAAAAGATCAGCTTATTTGACCTGCTTTGTTTCAGTAGAGAAAATGTTGAATATTACGATATTTGATATTTAGAATGAAGCAAAGTGGACCTTCTGGATATCCAGATGAACTACATCAGTGTTTTGCCTCTTCCCCTGGCTTCAGATAGGCATGTATGCTCAGATGTCTGTGAGATGTCTCATCTGATAATGTTTAGCATGAATTAAGTTTAGAAAGGAAACCCTGCTGGTACTCATAGCCAGCCATATGAACAGCCTTTTCCCTTCAGAAAATGTTTTGGAACCTAGGCCTAGACATAATCTGGTTTCATCTGTCCCTCCACTCACCTAACGCTGACCAGATTCTCATTGACTGAGGGTAGATTATTTCGCTCTGAAACCATAGAGTTTTGCACAGATGTTGAAGGCTAGACTAGCATTGCTTATCTCATAATGTTTCCAGATGCATCATTCAATGGAAGAGAGAATGTGTTGATGGACCGAACTCCCAGCTTTTCTCATCTTTTTACTTTGGCTGTTACGTTGTACTCAAAATATTGCACTCCTGTGCTGTGAGATAATGCTTTTGTACACTGTAAGATTTGTCACTTGTATTAGTCTAATAAAACGCTGATTGGCCAGTAGCCAGGCAGGAAGTATAGGTGGGGCAAACAGTCAAGGAGAATTCTGGGAAGATTGAAGAGAGAGAGATGCAATTGTCGCTCAAATACAGAGGAAGCAAAATGAGAATGTTGCACTGATAAAAGGTACCAAGCCACATGGCTAACACAGACAAGAATTATGGGTTAATTTAAGTTGTAAGAGCTAGTTAATAGTAAGCCTGAGCTAATAGGCCAAACCGCTTACAATTAATATAAACCTCTATGTATTTCTTTGGGACTGAATGACTGTGGGAACAGGTAAGACAGAAACTTCCTGAACACTAAATATACAAATAAGATTAGTTTTTAAGTGCCTTGTCTGGTCATTGTGCTAGCCATCATGGTGGAATGAGGAAAACAGATCCTGCTGTTACACTGCTGAGAGTTGGAAGAAAAACATGTAGAAAGATAACTACAAATGGACGTCAGAAGCAATGGATGATTGGTCCTAACAGTGCAGGGTTTAGTGAA